ATATGATAGTCATGTATAAATATGTGAGAGGAAGCCACAGGGGGAGGAGGGAGCAAGCTTGTTTTCTGCTTCCCTGGAGACTAGGATGAGGAACAATGGCTTCAAACTACAAGAAAGGAGATTCCATCTGAACATGAGGAAGAACTTCCTGACTGTGAGAGCCGTTCAGCAGTGGAACTCTCTGCCCCGGAGTGTGGTGGAGGCTCCTTCTTTGGAAGCTTTTGAACAGAGGCTGGATGGCCATCTGTCAGGGTGATTTGAATGCAATATTCCTGCTTCTTGGCAGGGGGTTGGACTGGATGGCCCATGAGGTCTCTTCCAACTCTTTGATTCTATGATTCTGATTCTAATCAAGGTGGTCAGTTGAAACATTCACACCTAGCTCCAGCAGACAAGAGTCCTTTGTCCCACCCTGGTCATTCCACAGATATATAAATCCATTTTCCTACTTCCAACAGACCTACTACCTCTGAGGATGCTTGTCATAGATGCAGGCGAAATGTCAGGAGAAAATGCCTCTAAGACATGGCCATATAAACAGGAAAAACCTACAACAACCCATACATAATGTTTTTCAGCATTATAATACAACTATAAGTTGGACAGGATCCCAAGGGCCATCTAGTCCAATCCTCTGCCCATGGAGATGTATCCCAGAGGAGTGGCTATGCAAAATCTAGTCAATATCCTCTCCCCTTCTTGTTCAGATTTGGAAAGGACACTTCTGATTAATCCTCTCTCGTCCCATGCTTTTCAATTACTTTTAAAATGTCCCAGTTTTTCTCACCACCTCCAACTTTCCCCTTTTCGTCTCACCTTATTTTGATAGTTGCAAAACATGTTCATAGTGTAAATATTATTGGCATTCCATTAAGTCAGGAAAGGATGAGGAGAGGAAGCAAGTGGGATCTTACACTTCCCAACAGACTCATAGAATCATAGAGTCAGAAAAGACTTCATTGGCCATCCAGTCCAACCTCCTTCTGCCAAGAAGCAGGAAAATTGTCTTCAAAGCACCCCCAACAGATGGCCATCCAGCCTCTGTTAGAAATCCTCCAAAGAAGGAGCCTCCAACACACTCCGCAGCAGAGAGTTCCATTGCTGAACACCTCTCACCGTAAGGAAGTTCTTCCTGGTGGAATCTCCTTTCCTATAGTTTGAAGCCATTGTTCCATTGCATCCTAGTCTCCAGGGCAGCAGAAAACAAGCCAGCTCCCTCCTCCCTATGACTTCCCCTCACATATTTATACATGGCCCTCATCGAAGACCGACAGGTCGTAGGTTCGAATCTGGGGGGAACACAGATGAGCTCCCTCTATCAACTCCAGCTCTCCATGCGGGGACATGAGAGAAGCCTCCCACAAGATTGGTAAAATTTCAAAACATCCGGGCATCCCCTGGGCAACTTCCTTGCAGATGGCCAATTCTTTCACACCAGAAGCAACTTGCAGTCTCCTCTTAGCTTTCTCTTCTGCAGGCTAAACATGCCCAGCTCTTTAAGACGCTCCTCATAGGGCTTGTTCTCCAGACCCTTGATTATTTTAGTCGTCCTCCTCTGGAGACATTCCAACTTAGGGTCGACATTTCCCTTCAATTGTGGTGCTCAGAATTGGACACAGTGTGATTCCGGGTGTGGTCTGACTAAGGCAGAATAGAGCATGGGGAGCAGGACTTTGCATGATTCTGGCAAAAGGAACAGCTAAGTTTTTGATAGAAAATTTGACAGCTTCACAAGTTTGGTAGATAAAGGGAATGCTTTACGTAGATCAGGCATGGGCACACTTTGGCCCTCCAGGTATTTTGGACTTCACCTCTCACAATACCTAACAGCCTTGCCTGCTTTAGATGGAGCATCTCTTAATTTCGGTAAATGTGTTTATTTATTTATTTATTTACAGCTTTTATATTCCGCCCTTCTCACCCCGCAGGGGACTCAGTGTACACATATATGGCAAACATTCAATGCCAATTTTAACATACAACATATACAGACTTACACAGAGGCTATTTAACTTTTTCTGGCCGCCAAGGGAGCTGTCGCTTTCATCGTCCATCTGCGACACTGATGAAGTACTTCCGCATTCCCCGCATGCTTCCCTGCTGGAATGCTTTGCTGGAGTCTTTTTTATGGCCTCATAAATTAGTTAATTTAGCCTCCCCACACTTTAAGGAGGTACCTAATTTTCCTATTTGACAGATGCAACTGTCTTTCAGGTTGCAAAGGTCAGCAACAGGCTACACACAATTGGTTGGAAACCCACTCCAACCTGGGCTGGCTTCGAACTCATGACCTTTTGGTCAGAGTGATCTTAATGCAGCTGACACTCAGCCAGCTGCGCCACAATCCCGGTGCTGTGCCTGGTAAAGCATTTGTCAGAGTCTTCCATGGCATTCTCACATGGAACCTAGTAAAATGTGGGCTACTGTTAGAAGGATTGGGGATTGGTTAACTGGCCAATGGCTCCCCTTCACCTGGAGAAGAGTGACCACAGAGGGCTCCTGACCTGGGCCCAGGGCTATTCAGACCCTTTCGATGACTCAGGCAGTGGAATAGCAGGCATGCTGTACAAATTTACAGATGACACCACAAAAAGGAGGGGTAGGAAATACCCCAAGGGACAGGATTGTTCCCATAGGCAGGAAAAAAGTAAAATCTACAGATATAGGATGAGTGACACCGAGCTTGACAACAATCCATGTGAAAGGCTATTGGAGGCAAGGCTTAGTAGACCACAAGATGAACATGGGTCAGTAGTAGAAAAGTATATGTGAAGTCTTGTCTCTCCCTTTTCCTCTCCTCTACTTTAGTTCRCCCTGTTTATAGACCTTCCCAATAGTGTAGATAACTTCCTTTGTATTAGTTTTTGGGTGGAGCTTAAAATCCCCCCCCCCCCCCAGAGGTCAATCTTAGTTGGTCTATTCCATTTCCCTGCACAAGGCTCATTGCTGGACTCTTCCTTTTTTCTACAGGAGAGCTACAGTGAATTAGAGCCTTGGATATTGTCTGGTATCCTAGGCCTAGCAATCCAAAACAGGCATTCTTAGCACCTGCTGCATTTAGCAGTATTATTATACCAACAGTCCAAAGGACATCAGAAGCTTTCGGTCAGCCTAAGCTTCACAGGAGAGAAGATTAAGACAGTTTGTAAGCAACAACTTATAATCCATCGCTTTGCATCAGAGGCAGAAGATTCCAGAAAGATGAGTACAATCAGCAAAATCCCGTTTTGTAATGTATTGTTTTAAATTTTATTTATTTGTCGTGTCAGGGGCAGACCAGATGGTTGCATTGCATTTTTTAACAAACAAATAAACAAAACACAAAGTTTGCAAGCTTGGTAGTTGATTAAATGTCCTTTGACCAGTATCTGGCCACTTGAAGTGCCTCTGGTGTTGCTGCAAGGAGGTCCTCCATTGTGCATGTAGCAGAGCTCAGGTTGCATTGCAGCAGGTGGTCTGTAGTTTGCTCTTCTCCACAGTCGTATGTCGTGGATTCCACTTTGTAGCCCCATTTCTTAAGGCTGGCTCTGCATCTTGTGGTGCCAGAGCAGTCTGTTCAGCATCTTCCAAGTCGCCCAGTTTTCTGTGTGCCCAGGGGGGGAGTCTCTCATTTGGTATCAGCCATTGATTGCAGTCCTGGGTTTGAGCCTGCCACTTTTGGACTCTCGCTTGTTGAGGTGTTCCAGCGAGTGTTTTAAACCCTTTATTCATCCTGTTTTCAGTAAACTCATTTGGTTATCTTTTCACCTTGCCTATAGTGTCTCTGTCTGTTAAGGGTCTTAATCTTAACAGAAGGTAACAGAGAGTAAAGCCAGACACCATAGTTTTCCCAAAGGTTTGGGCGTGCCATCCCAGTATAGTATCAAGAATGAGGGAGATCATATTCCCATTCTCTTCTGCTTTGGTCAGACCTCACCTGGAATAACCCTGTGTCCAATTCTGGGCAAACACTTCAAGAAGGATATTGGCAAATGGGAAGTTGTCCAGAGAGGGGAAACCAAAATGGCCAAAGGTCTGGATAACATGAATTCTTATGGGTAGTGGCTTAGGGACCTGGGTATGCTTAGCCTTTGCAAAAGTAGAAGGAATACTTTAATGTCTGCATAACAGGATGAATTTGTTAATTATGTTGGACGTTATAGTTTTTGCTCAACTGTAATAAAGAATCATATAGAACCAGAGAACCGTAGGGTCACCTGCACTATAGTTCTACTGGTTGCAGGAAATCGTGCAGATGAAGCCTCCTTTACACATGGCCATCCATCCTCTAGTCCAAACTCTCCCACAAAGAAGAACTTTTCACCTTCTGAGATACCCAATCTGCTCTTACCATCAGGACATTCTTCCTGTATTAGTCATTTTATACAGTTGTCTACATTTGTGGTTTTGCCTTTTGCAGATCAGAGGATTCACAACTTCCATTGAAATGTTCTTTCTCAGAATCTCTACATTCTCTAGTGTCACCATTTCATCTGACCATGCTGGAAAACCTAGAGATTTCCAGTGAGAGAGGTTTCTTGGAAACTCTAGGCCCTCTGGCACAATTTTATGGTTAGATTCCAGCACATGTCAATCACAGTTAGCCTGGAATAACTAGAGCCAGCGTTGTCCGTAGACACCTCCAAGGTCATGTGGCTGGCATGACTGCATGGAGTGCCGTTACCTTCCCGCCGGAGCGGTACCTATTGATCTACTCACATTTGCATGTTTTCGAACTGCTAGGTTGGCAGAAGCTAGGGCTGACAGTGGAAGCTCACGCTGCTCCCCGGAATCGAACCTGCGACCTTTCGATCAACAAGCTCAGCAGCTCAGTGCTTTAACCCACCACGCCACTGGGGGCTCCCTTGAATTACAACTATACCCTCGATAAATAAATACCATCACAACACAATATATGTGTCTTTCCCCAGATGTCTGTCTGTGTGAACATCACAACACAGTGCCCTGTGGAGCATTCATTCCAGGTGCACCATTGGTAACCTGGTCATGGCCTTACTTACCTTCAGTAGCCATTGGGTGTTGTTTTCCAAGACCCGTTCAAGCTGCTGGTATCGCTGGGCAGACTGGTCCTCCTCATCGCTCCTCAGCAAGGGTCCGGCCGGTGAATCCCGCTGCAGGATGTTGGGGTTGAAGGTGTCCCCTGGGCGCTGCTGGTGGCAGGGCAGAGGGTCAACCTCTGGCAGGACAAAAGTGTAGCTGCAGCGCCCCTGCTGCACGCGGTGGGAGCGGCGACGGAGACCGCTCTCCAGTGCCCTCCTCTGGCTGCCCTCTGCCCAGAAGACCGCCAGCAGGGAGCCAAAGGCCCAAATGTGGGGGGTGCCCACCTTCCACATAGTAACAGTGGCAACTGCAAACACCCAGTCCTTGGGAAGCCTTTGCCTTAGTTCCTCCTGATGTGCAGAAGTGGTTAGAACCCCCTTTCACCGTTCTGTATTCTTCTCTTCTTGTTCTAGATGCCCCCTGAAAGCCGATGCTCTTTCTTTTATCATCCTTGCTGGCTGCAGCAGCAATATTGGCCAGCCTCACCAAGAGAGAGAGAGGGAGAGGGAAAGGGGGGGAAATCCAGATGAGTTTGATGCTCGACTCCCCACCCCCACTGTTGCAGCTCATATTTCAAATGGGATGTTTTACACACACTCACACAGGCTCCAAAGCCAAGAACTTTATTTTCAGGCTCTTACGCAGATTTCTGCATCATTCCATGGTCCGCTGCAAATGCCGCCGTGCCAGGGGAGGGCTGCAATTCCTGGACATCTAAAGCACACTTTAGAAAGAAATCTCTGCATGCCACACTTGTTATCTTTATAGGGTAAATAATGCTGATCCTAGAGGTTTCCAAAAGCACAATGAAATTGGGATATATATGTGTGCATGTGTGTGTATGGGGGGGGGGGGATTCCTGGGATCTGGGGATCACAGTTGAAAACCATGAAGACCTCATATGTCCCAAGGCTTACATGTTTCCTATACAATGCAAATATTTTATATGCATTTTCCAAGAAGCTCCCAGTGGCACAATGGGTTAAACCCTTGTGCCAACAGAACTGCTGACCAAAAGGTTGGCAGTTCAAATCTGGGAAGCAGGGTGAGCTCCCGTCGATCAGCTCCAGCTTCCAGCTTCCCATGTGGGGACATGAGAGAAGCCTCCTACAGAGTGATAAAACATCAGGGTGTCCCCTGGACAACATCCTTGCAGACACCCAATTCTCTCACACCAGAAGTGACTTGTTTGGGGTTGAATGTTTGGAGCAGGCATAGGGAATGGTAGCTGAAAATTCCCGTGCATCCTTCCATTTCTTTTTCTTGGATGCTATGCAGCAGGACAAGCCCAACCTGTGGCCCTCCAAAATATTCCTCCTCACACCTGGAATATTGTATCCAATTCTGGGCACCACAATTCAAGAGAGATATTGACAAGCTGGAATGTGTCCAGAGGAGAGCGACTAAAATGATCAAGGGTCTGGAGAACAAGCCCTATGAGGAGCGGCTTAAGGAGCTAGGCATGTTTAGCCTGAAGAAGAGAAGGCTGAGAGGAGATAGGATAGCCATGTATAAGTATGTGGGAGGAAGCCACAGGGAGGAGGGAGCAAGCTTGTTTTCTGCTTCCCTGGAGACAAGGATGCGGAACAATGGCTTCAAACTACAAGAGAGGAGATTCCATCTGAACATGAGGAAGAACTTCCTGACTGTGAGAGCCGTTCAGCAGTGGAACTCTCTGCCCCGGAGTGTGGTGGAGGCTCCTTCTTTGGAAGCTTTTAAACAGAGGCTGGATGGCCATCTGTCAGGGGTGATTTGAATGCAATATTCCTGCTTCTTGGCAGAATGAGGTTGGACTGGATGGCCCATGAGGTCTCTTCCAACTCTAGGATTCTATGATTCTATGAAAAAAAGGCATTTTGTTGGAATTCCCTGCAATAGACAGCGCACCCAGAGCCCCTTCGTTCTAATCCATGTTTACAGCTTTTGACATGGGAATGATTCATCTTCTTCTATTCCAAACTTTAAAGGACCTCTCTGGGCCCTTCCACATAACTATGTAACCCAGAATATCAAGGCAGATAATTCATGATATCTTCTTTGAACTGGATTATCTGAGTCCACACTGCCGTATAATCCAGTTCAATGTGGATTTTGTACAGCTGTGTGCAGTGCCTTTCATGATCCTTGATTCGTGTTTGGGCAATGCTGTTTTTGATAGTCTCTATGCAGACTTGTCCACAGTTGCATGGTATATGGTAGACTTCTGCAGAGGTGAGAGGATCTCTCTTGTCCTTTGTTGAATGTAGCATTTGCTGTATTTTTTTACAACAACCAGTGAATCCGGCCATGAAAGCCTTTGACGATACAATATACTAGCTTGGGAACCCAGCGGTGCCCGGGTTATTTGAGATAGGCATTGTTTCTCTGTGCTGCAGTTTTAGTCTAGACCCAATGTCATCTGTGTTCAGTGGGTGCAGGTGAACTACAATTCCCATATGCAAGTCCCATGGTTCATCCTCCTCCAAACTGCATCAGGATGTAGGGTGGGTCATGGGGGCTTTGTGTGCCAAGTTTGGTCTTGATCAGTCATTGATGTGAGTTGCAGTGCTCTCAGGAAGTGAATGAAGGTACTGTAAGTCCCATCATCCATGGTTGATCATCCCACAAACCATACCAGGATGTAGAGTGGCTCATGGGAGGTCTGTATGCCAAGTTCAATCTTAATCAGTCATTGGTGTAAGTCAGAACGGTCTCAAGAAGTGAGTGAAGATACTGCAATTCCCATCATCCATGGTCCAAAGTCTTCCAAACCGCACCAGGATTTAGAGTGGCTTATGGGGGTTCTGTGTGCTAAATTCGATCTTGCTGTGTCATTGGTGAGAGTCACAGTGGACTCATAAAGTGTGTGATGGTACTGCAAGTCCCATCATCCATCATCCATGGTCAACCCTCCTTCAAATCACAGCAGGATGTAAAGTGTGTCATAGTATCTCTGTGTGCCAAGTTTGGTCTTGATCAGTCATTGGATGAGGGTCGAAGTGGTCTCAGGAAGTGAGTGAAGGTAGTGCTAGTCCCATCATCCATGGTCAACCCTCCTCCAAACGGTACCAGAGGGGTAAATGAAGTGTGGGAAGGATATCCCCCTTCCTGAGATTGTTGGACTGCCATTCCCAGCATTTTTCATAATTCCCTCTGCTGATCCAGACTGCTGGGTGTTGCAACCCAACATTTGGAGAGCATACACCTCCAAATGTAAATACCCAGAGCTTGGGAACCTTGCTTTCCTGAGCCACAGTCCCCAGACTCCCCTTGTGTTCACAGCCAGTGACTTTCCCAACCTCTGCTCCGTGCCTCTGCCTTCTCACAAGGATTCAGATATTTACTTCTGCCCCCTTTTCCTTACATGCCTCCAGTCGCCTCTGTTTCTGAAGTTTGCCCTTTCTTTGCATGCTCTTTTTAGACTCACAGGCTGCTCCGGGAGCCCTTCACTCCAGGACGGAGCCTTGACCTCATCCTCGAAGGCAAAGCAAGGGAGGCTCCTCTGACTCAAGCGCTTTCGCCTTTCAAAGGAGGAGAGATTCCCCCTTCCTTGCTCTGGTTCTGCAAAGCCTTCCTTGATTAGTACCAGCTGTGACCTCGCTGGGTTCATGCCTAGCAGCCGTTGGGATCCCAGAAAGCATTTCCTTCTCTCTCTCCATCTCTTCCATCTATTTATACCATGTCCCAGGGAACTGATTCAGGTCCTGTCTGCAATCATTCCTCACATCCAAGAGAATGCTCCCCAGAGTGAAGGAGACTACTATGGATTTTGGCAGGGCCCTCATTAAAGGACTAATTGGCCAGGCACCATCGCTGTATCACAGGCATGGGCAAACTCTGGCCCTCCAGGTGTTTTGGACATTAGAAAATGTTGACCATTTCCGCTACCTTGGCAGCCACCTCTCCACCAAAGCCAACATTGACACCGAAATACAACACCACCTGAGCTCTGCAAGTGCAGCATTTTTCCGAATGAAGCAGAGAGTGCTTGAGGACCGGGACATCAGTAGGGATACCAAGGTGCTTGTTTATAAAGCTATTGTCCTCCCAACTCTGCTATATGCCTGCGAAACGTGGACTGTCTACAGACGTCACATGCAACTCCTGGAACAATTCCATCAGCACTGTCTCTGGAAAATCCTGCAAATTTCTTGGGAAGTCAGGTGGACAAACATCAGCGTGCTGGGAGAAGCAAAGATCACCAGCATTGAAGCGATGGTCCTCCGCCATCAACTCTGCTGGACCGGCCACATTGTCCGGATGTCCGACCACCGTTTCCCAAAGCAGTTGCTCTACTCCGAACTCAAGAACGGAAAACAGAATGTTGGCGGGCAGGAAAAGAGATTAAAGATAGGCTCAATGCCAACCTTAAAAACTCTGGCATAGACACTGAGAACTGGGAAGCCCTGGCCCTTGATTGCTGCAGATTTTGAAGAGGCACAAATGGAGGGTGAAAGAGAACGGCTCTCACAGTCAAGGGCTTCAGACCCAAGTCTCTCTCTCACGTCCATCTGATAGAAAGTTTGATGGTGGAATGGAAAAGGAAACACTGTCCTGCTCTCTAGGAAGAGGTGGGGTCAAACACTTGAGCAGGAGGAGCAATATAACTGGTGCAAACAACATTGACTGACAGCTATAAAAACCTATCAATCCAACTATACATTTACAGGATAAAAATACAAAATCAGGCATGATACAACAGTTCAAATCCTGCAACTTACAGTTCTACATATAGGTGGCGCCACTCGCGCCATCACATTTTCCATTCTTGAGATGGGAGTAGAGTAACTGCTTTGGGAGACTGATTGGCCATTTGGACAACGTATAACGTTATACGTTTTATGCTTCCACCTGGAAACTGTTGTTCTCACTGCAGGACAAGAATCAAGAATGGGGCTCCACGGCCACCTACGGATCCACTGCCAAGACACTTCACTTGGAGAACCATCATCCTCAAGCTACAAGGAATCCTCTAAGTAAGTAAGTAAGTAAGCAATAATATTTATTATTATTATTATTATTATTATTATTCATGTCAGGAGCAACTTGAGAAACTACAAGTCACTTCTGGTATGAGAGAATTAGACATCTGAAAGGGGGACACCCAGATGTTTTACCATCCTGTGGGAGGCTTCTCTCATGTCCCCGAATGAGAAGCTGGAGCTGATAGACAGGAGCTCACCTCGCTCCTCATATTTGAGGAAAAGCTACACCTTTGAATCAATGCAGTTCAACACCACTTTTACCTCCATGGCTCAATGCAATAGCACCACTGGAGTTTTAGTTTGACAAAACCATTTTATCCCAAGCATTCTGGTACCTCAGCAAACTTTAACTCTTAGGATTCCATAGCATTGAGCCATGGTAGTGAAAGTGGCGTCAAACAGCATTAAATCTACAATGTGGATGCTCCCCTGGTCTTGAGAAAATACTGTAGGGCAAGGGGAAAATACAGTTCCGTTTCCCGTGAACAGAAAAGCCTCTGGCCCCTTGCTCTTGGCCTGGCATGTTGTGTTGTGGTTGGCAGTTGACTTTGGCTGGAATA